TAGAGCTACATAATAGGGCAACAAATTTCCCTTCACAAGCAGACCATTATGATTGTTGCCATAAAGTTGGTAATTATATGCAACTTTTTTTTTTTTATTGAAAATGGTTTGGGGAATAAAATTGTATGTAACAGACCTATGGCCGTTGCACACACGTTTGTTCTGCTATATGTAGTGAGGACCATGTGTTGACTCCCACTGACTTCTATTGATTTTCAGTCATTTTCAACCCTTTTTATGCTCAAACCCTAAAACTAACCCTAAACCTAACCATTGTCAATGCATACCTCACCCTAACCCTAACCCATATTAGCCCTAAATTCAACCATTAGCAAAATATTACCGGTATGTGTTGACCAGCAAAATGTCCTCACTTTACTACTGGTCCTCATTGTAATGGTGAAATTGAAAAAAAATTATCCTCACTCGATGCCTTTACAGGTAGACACACAAACACCTTCACCCACACACACACATTACACTACTGCCATTATTCCATTTCTACAAAAAAGTCTCCAATGAGTATAGATATTGCAGTTGGATAGAAACTGTTGCTTAGTTTCCATGTCCTTACTTGAACTGGTCTGTATCCTCTGGTTGATGTGAAAAGTTCAAACAAAACTACATCAGAGTGACTGAAATCCAGAATACCATCAACAGCATCAAACTGTTCTTAGGCAGAGGGGATGCACACAGCCTGCAAAAGAGCGGAGTTCCACTACAATTTCAATTCTTACAGTATGCTATTGGACTTGTAGATTCAGGTTAAATAAATACAAATCAAATTAGATTTGCACTATGCAATAAATGGCACCTACAACCCTGATTCTTTTCAGACATAATTTGCTCTTTTATTCATATATATTTTTTTTTTTTATGACACTGCTTTCTTCCTTTTATACCACAAATCTTTCCCAGATATGTATTTGGTGATGCAGAGCTATATGACAATACACTAAAACAGGGCTGTTGTTCTCCTTAAATGTATCTATTGGTTCCTGCTCTGAGACTTTACTAGTGCTGTCCACCAACATCATAATATAATGCTTAAGCATTTTTTTAAAATAGATTTTTTTGCCATACACCATTATGGGTGTTTGGTTTTCAATCACTTTTGATGTAGATTCTATGCAATATTTTATAACCCTCAGATAGAAGCAGCCTGCTTCTTATCTGAGCTAAATCTACTTCTAAAATTGGCTTTCTAAAATTGTTTTTGATGATTCTTGCAATTTACAAGCATCTTAAGAATAAAAACATAAAAAATTGATAATTTTTTAAAAATACACGCAAACTGATGTTTTCTTTTATATGTGCACAAAACCCTGATGCTATGCACACACTGGCACATCTTCCACTGAATCCACCTTAGGGACTTTGGAAGGATGGCCATAGTAAATTACTCCTGACAATAGAAGGAAAGCACAATTGAAACCAAAAACCTTTGAGAGACAACAAGCCACTGAAAACACTCCAGTAATTTTGTCCTTGAATGCCCCCTTGAATTCCAAACAGGCGTGTTTGGCTCTTGCCAAAGTTTAAGTGGATGAGTTCAGTCACACATATATATTTCATGAGAATAATGGGCCCAATTAAACTGTGATTACAGATTCTTCTGGGAGCTTTTCATGCCAGAGCTGTAAACTGGGATTGCTGGTTCACATCTGAACATCATAATAACAAACAAGATCACTATATCAGATAATGGGCTATATAGAGAATATAGACATGACTTTTCCCAACTAAACACTGACCAGCAAAAAAAAAACATGATACTCACAAAACAATTCATGTTTCCTCAAGTTTTTTTTTTCCTATTGTGTACACACTAAAGGGAAATTCATTTATAATGCATTGCGCATATATAAACCATAGTGTTGACTTATTCCAGTGATTCATTAAATGATGTATATACAAGGCATTTCTTTCTGCTCACTTTTTTCCCTTTTATCCAAACAAGAGTCTCACTATCTACTGTACAAATTCCGCTTCAGCAACAGTAACTCAAAAGAAAAGCCCACACAAAACAAAAAAACAACTTTGTGGGAATGCTCTGAATTATATTACCCAAGGGATATTGCAAGAAAGGTGGTGAACGCACAAACTAAAAGAAATATATTAAATTATGGTATGTAAGGAAATCATAAACGTTTTTGTTGTGTTCCAACTGTTCATACAGTATTGTTTAAACCACATGTTGTTTCTGAAGCAAAATGCGTAACTGTTTCAACTGGATAACATCTTATTAAAACATAAATTCAACAAACCACAAGTAGCTCAGAAACAAAAAAGAATATTTACTGTGAATTTACTGTGAAGTTTGTTCTGGAAGCCGAGTCATCTCCTTACTCACCTTGGAAAAGCTGCTTTAGAAATGAGGTAAGATAACATGTGTTGGGAACTGGTGCTATATAGATAAATAAACTGAAACTAAAGTTATGTTTAGGGAAGACTGGGCATTTTGGTGCATCATGTACGTACTGTAAATGAAATTGAATGAAATGAGTGTGGAGTACCTGTGAACAGGGAACACAAACACATCTAAATAGCATATAATCATATTTATCTGACTAAAAAAGTGTGTATCTCTCACATATCACCATAACTGACCCCTTTTCGATGTTTGGGAAATTCTTAACCACATCTTTCCTAATATTCTTGTTTTCTGATAGGTGGTCACAAAAAGTGGGCAAATATGAGGTGCAAGATGAATAACAAATAAAAACACAAAACCTGTGACATGCATTAATCTAATCTGGTGCAACCAATTGCCTTAAGCAGTCATCTTGTTGGTGTTTACATCGTCTCACTAAAAAAAGAGCCAAGAAGTCAGTAGAAGTTTAGTGGACAGCCTAACGGATCCAAAGCGCAGGTAAGAAAAACTATTGAGAAAAAAGGCTATTCAGTCATATACTCTATAGATCTATACTTAAAAGATGATTAGGAGCAACAACAAAAAAGTTATTGTTGAAAGAAAGCTCTGATAAGCTCTTATTTCTGATTGTGGTAAGCCATGTTGAGGACCCAGTAAATATAAAGTTGGTGATTATCTTGCCAGATAAGACAAAAATTAAACTTTGTAGCTTACAGTATATGTTATGTTTGTCAAAAATCATGAATGCACATCACCTTCTACAAACAACCACCATCAAATTTGTATGTGTTTGCATGATGCTGTGGAGGCACGTGTCTTCATCTGTAGCGAAAAGCTGGTCAAACTCGATGTAGAGATGTATAGAAGTAAATAGAGCTCAACTCTGAAATATTACCCATTAGATACTGCAAAATAGTTGAAAGTGTAGGTTATTTGGGAATGGAGAAAGTTGCAAAATCTCAGCCTGTAGATCTCAAAAGATCAGAAGATAGGTTTCCAAGATGCTTGCAGTTGATTTTGCAGCATTAGCTGGTTCTACAAAGTATTGGCTTAGAGATACAAACACAAAAGGCTTTTAAAATATTTTTCTTTGCAAATATTTTGTAAAATGCTGCTTCATTTTCCTTGCACTGCACTGCTGATTTAAAAAAACAAATAAATAAGGCTTATGAATAAATTTGCTAGGTGCTCTGCAAGTAAAGGGATAGGGAAGAATAGCAAAACTCCACAAAGAATGAAACCAACCTTCTTTGTGAGTTGGTCAAGACAAAACCAATAGAAAATTAACATAACTGTTTATACAGTAGGGGGGTAAAAATTATCTAAACTTTCTCTGGAAAAATGAAGTAATGATTGAAATATGTTAAGCTCAGAAGATTCAAAACATGTTTAAAACAAACTCAAGAGGTAATAAAAAGACAGAGAATTGAAAAAAGGTTTGAAAATGATCACTTTGTGTGATTTTATGTCATTTATTTGCTTTGTAAAAGCTTTGGATTCAAAGTTTTTAGGTTGCCATTAAGCCCTCTGATCCCCAAACTTATCAAGTATACTGAGGTTGAAAAGTTATGTTCGGATCATTTAAGTGATGAACATGTTTAATCAGGAAAAACTAAATTGCTAAATGTATCCCTTGGTCACTTCATTTATCACCTAACTTGGCTCAACCTTTACCTCTGCTTGGGCAAAATGAGAAGCAGTTTTAAGAGTCAACTTTTTTTTTTTCTTTTTTCATGCATAAATTTTAAGCATTTTCACAGATGGTAAATATCCCAAAAATAATCAATGTTTAGGTTTTGCTTGTGCACCACTTTCTCTTGCCTGTAGGATAAATAACAAAAATATCCTAATTTACTCCAAACTCTCTCTGTTTTTAATTTTCTGGGCCGGCAGTTTTCTTTTACACTCTGTCCTTCACCGTGTTTATCTTTACACTTCAGCAGCCCGTCCGCGTGTTGCAGTTCTCATTTCCCCCCAGTAGATGGCCTTATTCTCGAATATATGATGAGCCGGGATTAAAAACAGTATCACTGCCAAATGTCCGCTGATATGCAGAATTAATCTCCAAAACTTAAAATTTGATTGATATATGTTTAAGTACTTGTGTTTAATGAGAAGGAAAAGTTTAATTTTCTACTATAATATATCAAACCCAGGGAAGTGATGATAAAACAATGTTAGTTTTTTACGTTTTATTTATTTATTTTCTTAAATAATTCTGAAAATGATTTTGGCATTTGAAAATACAATTGCAATTATGCATTTATTTCAACTAAAAGGAAAAAAAATTTTAAGACGATGACTAACCTGCTGAAATCAATAAAATAATACCAGCTACTATAAAATAATGCAATTTAACCACTTTAACGAATATATTACACTCCCAAAACATCATTTTTAATAGTATTTTCAAATTTAAATATCTGAACTGCCCATGAAGATAACATATCAACATCTGCAATCTAAGATTTTCCGTCATGTCACTATTATTTGTTTCCTGCACCTCTCCAAAATCGCCTGCTTGGTGAAGAGCCGCGGAGGAGCGATTGGAGCGCTCAAGGTTGGCGTGATGACGTCATGGAAGTAGCGTGAGGGGACCTTGTAGCCTCTTCGGCCCCCCTATACAGTCCGGAGACTGAGACACAAGTTATCTGGGAGGCTGCGGAAGGGCCGGCGATCTTTCCCCATCTTTTCTGCGTGGAGCTCACTCCCCTTCATCCGTCCTGTATGGTGGATATTATCTTCAGCTCTTCTTTCTTGGGTGATATGGGGGATCATTCCAAAAGTAAGTACGCACAACTGCTCTGTGCACTTTTCAGCAGAATGATTCAGTGTCCGGTGCACAACTGCAGCTTTAGATCGCGTAGAAAAGCTCATAATCAGCAAGGAATGAACCGATTCTTCAAAAGTTAGTTCGTTTTATTTGGCTTTTAGAAGAGATTTCCATCTGCGTAAAGAAGAGGGAAATGGATGCGTAAAGTTCTTAAGCATGAAAATTGCTGAAATACAACAGCTGTGCATATAGCAGCAAGAATTAGGACTTCTTTAGGAAAAAAAAAAGTTAATTTCAAAATAATTGAAAGATGAGACACGCTGCGCCGTTTTTGGTGTTAATTCCAGTAAGTGATCAAGGTTGTGTTGACAAGCATGTGGCCTCTTTGCAGAGAAGTCAGGATTCGCGATGTGTGTAGGATGTGGAAGCCAGATCCATGACCAGTACATACTACGAGTTTCCCCCGACCTGGAGTGGCATGCTGCCTGCCTGAAGTGCGCGGAGTGCAGCCAATACCTGGATGAGACCTGCACTTGTTTCGTTCGGGACGGGAAAACTTATTGCAAAAGAGATTATGTAAGGTAGGATTATTTTTATTTTTTATTACCCGCTCACCTATTGTCATACAAGTTGGCTAATGTATAGATTAAATTTCATTATAAGAAGGAACTTTAAAAAAAAAGAAAAGTGTGGAAAAAAAACACAAAAAGTAAAAATAAAAAAGACAAAAACAATTTGGTAAAACAAAAAAAAAATCTTAATTGCAGCTTCAGGCACAAATAAAAATGCTCCTTCAAAACTTGCTAATTAAAAAAAACAAAACAAAAAAGAAAACCCCATACTATTCCCTTTGAATAATGTCTAAACAGTTGAACATTTTGCAGGCTGTTTGGAATAAAATGCGCCAAATGCAACCTGGGCTTCAGCAGCAGCGACTTGGTGATGAGAGCCCGGGATAATGTGTACCACATCGAGTGCTTTCGGTGCTCGGTGTGCAGCAGGCAGCTGCTGCCGGGCGATGAGTTCTCCCTCCGGGAAGAGGAGCTGCTGTGCCGGGCGGACCACAGCCTGCTGATGGAGAGGAGCTCTGCTGGAAGCCCCATCAGCCCCGGACACATCCACTCCAACAGACCACTACACCTTGCAGGTCCCAAAAATCATCATTATTATTATTACATAGTAATAAATAATAAGATATAGTTTTTGTGTTCTGTAGATCATTTCTATAAAAAAAAAAAAAAAAGTTTTTTGGGTTCAAGTTTTAGATTTCTGGGTGCTGTCGAGATATTTAAATGTGTTTTATTCATATGTCGATAAGGATGTATGCTGGAACCTTTATATGGGCCAATTCTATAATTGATCTAATTAACAGTGACCCGCTCTGTTGCCATTATCTAAATAATCTGGCACTAGAGTTGCGGCCCCGTCTTTATGTCTGTCTGCGTGTGTGTCTGTAAGGGAAATCACTGTGCCAAAAACAAAGGCGTGTAAATAATGGCCACCTACCTGCTGCAGCGCGGCTCTGGAAACAGGCCTCAACAGAGACGCAAATTCGANCCCCCTGCACCCTCCCCACCTCCACTTCCAGCCCTGCATGTGACCAGCTCATCACATCGCCCAGAATTATCCAGAGGAGAATTTTTCTTTTTTGTCCATACCCTGGAGGAGGTGGAACAAAGAGAGCACCAAATGACTTATTTTGTTTGTTTTTATGTGACAAAAAACTAAGAACAATTGATGCATGACTCTTCATACGGAGAATGAAGATGTACAGAAGACCTCCTGGTGGATATATACAACAAACCTTCAGAAAAAAAAATAAAAAATCAAAGGCTACCGGATCCTTTCAATGTTACAGCAGACAGACTATTCTGCATTTTCAGTGTGATCATATTGTGTCTTGTTTCTTCAACATGAACATTTTTGATACCTTTCTTGTGGCGTCTACTTGACTCTTTGTCTTAAGGTCAGAGCATGATATTCTGCAAAAGTATTCGTGGTGTAAAGTACTTTATCTTGAAGGGCTGGTTGTTTGAGCTCCAAGAACAAAAACAAAAAAAGTAAATTATTGTTATATTATTTATTGTTAGGAAAGCGATTCGTTAAAGGGAGTATTAACTGATGAAAAGAATAAAAAAGATGAATATAAGAAATGGCTTCATGATTTTTGTACAGGCGCAGCCTCCATACAAACCTCCATCCTTGTTTTCTGCTGTGCTTGAATGAAATATCTGACTTTTTTTTTTATCTGAAGAAAAAAAAAAGTAAAAAGGGCTGAAGTTTGGAGGATTGTTTTTCTTTGCGTTAAAATATGTGGTTTTTCCCGTTCCACCTTGATTAACTGAGCTGTTGCCTGGAGGTGCTCTTCTTATTATCTGGCCCCTCCATCTCCTGCTGTATGGCAGGAATCGGACGGTGGTCATTTACTATCTCGGGGGCAGAAAAATCAGCTGTAAATCTGCTGCGATGGGTCTGGTTCCTCTGGTCCAGCCACAGGCCGGTCTAGACAGCGTGTCAGGGATCGGCGACCTCTTATCTGTTCCTGGCATCACCTGCAAGCGATACACTGACTGAAGCCACAACAAAACCAAACACCCCCCCATATCACCACCACCTTAAACACACAGACACCCGCTCAGAGGAGCCCCACCCCTCTCGTTTGCGGGTGCAGAGATGGTAACTTGTCTTTTGCGTTTATTTTCCTTCCATAAATTGCGCGGGTCAACAGGACTAAGGTCAAACCGACAGAAGACCACCAAGTAGCCCATTTAATGCAAACTGTTGGTTAAATCATCCTGGATGCTAAAGCGATGCTTTATTAGAAGAGAAGGCCGGTATGGGACCGGTTCTGGGAACAAAGAGGGAAGGAAAGAGGAAAAAACAAAAATATTGGAAGCCGTGCAACCATTTTTACAGACTCTAATAGAAAAAAAACAGCAACACACACACAAAAAATAACTTTAATACCAAATTTTTAATTTCAGAGATGTGTATAAGAGACAGATATATATATATATAATTATTATTATTATTATTAATAATAATACTATTATATATTAAATTAGCTTATTACACATTTATAATATATTGTAGGCTATATTTAGACTTTATAAATAGGGGATAAACCTTTATCTTGTTAAAAGGCCGTTATTAGAATGGCTTCAGATTGTGCCTCCTCTCTGCTGGGATGAACAAACACATTTGGACCTGCAGCCGCTGAACAGCGCCTCTTCCTCCCCTGCGTCCTCAGCAGATCCCGTGGCGGTGCGGCAGGCTCCGCACCGGAACCACGTCCACAAGCAGTCGGAGAAGACGACGCGGGTGAGGACGGTGCTGAACGAGAAGCAGCTGCACACGCTGAGGACCTGCTATAACGCCAACCCGAGGCCCGATGCGCTGATGAAGGAGCAGCTGGTTGAGATGACCGGTCTGAGCCCCAGGGTTATCCGGGTCTGGTTCCAGAACAAGCGCTGCAAGGACAAGAAGAAGTCCATCCTGATGAAGCAGCTCCAGCAGCAGCAGCACAGTGATAAGACTGTAAGCATCTTCGTAAGTTTGACCATCGATTTCTATTTAAAGCACTTTGGTTTGGAATTTTTTTCTCACACAGAAATTCTTTATTTATTGGGATTGTGTTTATTGATGTATTTCTGGTTTTGTTTGTGGAGACACTTTTATTTTTGCTGAGGCGCCTCACAGTCATCTTTCTTTAGTTTAACATTTGATAGAAACAGGCTCAAAAAGCATGCATTAATGATCACATTTAAAATTGAATGTTAAAAGAAAATTGCGCTGCGGTTTTTGTTTATTTGCATGAGCTGTGGGGGACCTCTGCTAGTTCATAGCTTTATTAATTATGTTTCATTGTTTTATATTCTGAATTCAGTGCAACTTGTCAGATGGTTAACTTGTGAGCCTATAACAAATTCCTGAAATTACTTGAGTGACAGAATATATTTTGCTTTATAAATAATATTGCTTAGCAACATTAAATTAATTGATAGAAAAGATAAGGTAGAGTTGCATACAACTTTTCATTTAAAATGTTTAATACATCTATTTAAATTTCTAAATCAGCATTATTTCAATATTGAGACTTCTTTTCCCAAGTGAACCACAGGTCAGTTGGAGTTAATCTAGACTGGCATGTTTTGTATTTGCCCAACTGCTCATCCTGTTAATAAACAGTGCCTTGGTAAAGGTGCTCAGCTGGTTTAAAACAATGCTAAATGTAATGTTACACAAAGTGTAGATCTTTGGTTGTTTTCACAACATTAACATAGTAGCAGCATAACATACAATGAGTGCTTTTGGATATGACAAGTTGGGTCTTCTGGGGAATGTATTGATATTTAATTTAAGACTTTTCTTCCAGAACTTGCAGGGCCTCACAGGAACGCCACTTGTGGCTGGAAGTCCTATTCGACATGAGAGCACTGTGCAGGGAAACCCAGTGGAGGTTCAGACTTACCAGCCTCCTTGGAAAGCGCTAAGTGAATTTGCACTGCAGAGTGACCTGGATCAGCCAGCTTTTCAACAACTGGTGTGTGTGTTCATGACAGATCTATCTATCTATC